ATTACCACCTAGTTGGGGTTCGCGCGACCAAAGGTTGGATTAATAATCCTATATTTTAATGCAGCTAAGAGATCTCTTCAAGAGCGAAATACAACAACTTGTGTCTTATCAACGATCAAACGAACTGAGACTTATTTCAACCACAAGAGTATCAGTCTTCAAAGATATTCAACAAATATGTGATAGAAAATAAGTGGGACAACTTATGTAATCGAAGTACCTTTTGTAGGCCTTACGTACATTACAACTAAACACGTAGTAAACACGAAGTATTGATTCACAAAAAATGAAGGACATCAAAGTGATATAAAAGTTGGTTTTAATTTACAAAAGACATTACGTAAAACTAAATCGGCAGACCTTGTTTAGATTGCTCTTAGGATATCAGACTGTCTCGATATTCGAGGGAAGCAAGAGGAAATACTTCTAACATGCTTTAGTCCTAGGATTATTTAAAAAACCTAAATAAACATAAGGAAACACCAACTACATATTCAGATAGCTTTTGCGAAGGAAACATTACTGTTTTCGATAACTTAATGCTAAACTGGGATGGTGGCTCAGTAGTAAAGCCATTTGACTTTCAGTCACTTATTCAATTTGTGCCCCAGCTAATTCGGTTTAATCAACCAGATAGTAGTGTCGTTCAAAGTCATACGTAAATCTGTACTTTGTGAACTGAGGTTGAATTCAGTTGACCAGTGTTTATAATTTATTTATTTATTTTAACACATAGATATTGGTACAAGAAGGCACCAAATACATATGCACCACACAAATCTCATTCGATATGTGTGAGGGCTGTGATACTACCCGGGTGCCCAAACCGAAGCAGGTGGTTTTCTTAGGGGGCCACATCCCGAGCCTTTGACCTAGAGGTCTTACCCACAAGGCAGTGGAGCATCGTAAGGAGATGCAGTCCCATGGTAGCCGGTGACCAACGATTGGTTCATACACCATTTGTTCCCGCAGGATACTGGAGCCCATGTGCACCATTGATTTGTGATCCGGTTAAAGCGCCGGACATTCGCTTTTCGTCCTCTCATTTTTGTAAATAACACCCCCGCCACGAGAAGGCAGTGAGTAGGACTTCCCTGGCAGAGGCTATATAATATAAGATAAAACTCCGACAAATATGTTCTAGTGCTGTGAAACCTGACAAAAGCCGATACATGAGTGTCAGCTAGTTATTATATTATATGGTAGGTTATTAAAAACCAGTAATAACTTCGATTGGTATGAACTTAGCTCACTTTTATGCTATTGACAATAAACGTTTTGACTAGGTTCTCATCGTTTATACATTATGCATTTCACTGTTCATTCATTTAAGTATTACGTTTTCTCAGGTACCATAGTAGACGGATATATTTTATCAGTTATCATAAGCTGGAAAAAAACTTAACTATGAACATTCACTAACAACAAATAGTCTGGTTTCCATAAAGAAACCACTTGTTGTAATTTGAAATTGGTTATTATAATAGCGGATTGCGAACGATCCTATGAATATTGAACGTGATCTATGAGTGTTGGGGACGTTAGATCCCCAGAACTCACTTGAAAAAGGTCCTAATTTTGCAATTATTTATTCTCGCACCAAAAGCGCTCTCTTCACCTTCATGTCGTATTTTCCACTTGGGAGAATCTTAAACGCTATTGGTCCGTTGTGTCTTTCAGTATGCTATTTTCTAACGCTTCCCAAGGACCGTTTTGTTCTGTATATATACGTTTTGATTCGTGTCTGTTGTTATCGCTCGTGCTTCTGGCTTTTTGCGGAATATACTTCCCCGTTCGGACTTCGACTTCTCTCTCTGGTTAGCGGGGCTGGGACGCAACAGAACAGCTAGTTTATTGGTCCTTGGTCCGTTCGCAGACTAACTAAAGTAATCGCTTCAACATAGCAGAGAGATGGTTGACACACCGGACGACTGAGATACGCAACACATTGCAATAATAATTTCCTGTACGATTGGAAGAGATGTCTGTTATAACAGGGGGTGTCCGAGATCTGGTGATACACATTTTATTCGCTAAACCCCCCAAATGACATGAATAAATACTCATTTGTATATATAAATGTCTACCCTGGTAAAATCAATCCATTTCTCAGCCAACGCCATGCACTTGTTTTTCAGGACATTTCGAGTCGGGATCAAGTGACCTCATCTGGCTACTTTTGAGTGGTTCGCCATATCAACCTTGTAAAAAAATTAAATTACATTCAAGTAAGATCCGGTTTTACATTGATTAGATGCAACGATTAATACTTACAACATTTATCAAAGTGAGTAATTGCCTCTTGAGCATAAAATCATAGTGTGGACTAATTACTACAATAAAGATGGATTCAATAACAAACTTCTTACGGTTTGAATTATCACATTATCGATACTTTGACTGAAATTTGATCACTCTTGGTTGGCATGTTGGGCAACCTGTGCGGGCTGTCTCGATTTAGCCATTATTACAAAAGTTGATATAGAATTGATGGAATGTGGTTAGGAGTGAAATCCAGAACGGGTGTTACATCCCAGACAGATCAAATTTCAGCCAAAAATATCAGTATTGGGATAACACAAGCTATATTAAATCTCATACCCATTGCACAGTTGGAAGGCTATTTAAACTGAGAAGTTAAGCGGATAACGAGGTGGCGTTTGAAGTGAACGGCAGTGGGTTGGAGTCTCTGAGTGAACATTAATCCTTGGATGCAGACACATCCAGCCGACAAGACCCAAATAGGACTAAATCGGCATCGTGGATCCCATTGCTAGCCAACTTCCATCTATTCTATGTTAAATTCTGTTGTAACGGGTGACTGCAAGTTTTGATAAGCAGCGTTTTTATCGATCGATTACAGTGACACGGAAAACACGTAGTGAACGACCTAGTGCCCTGATTGGTCCCGCTTCCCTGTCTAGCCCAGCCAGTTGAGTCTAGAAAGCAAGTCACAGCCTCTGAGTTATGAATTGTTATATTTCAAACATACTCTGTTTATATACCAACCAAACAGACCACATCGTACCATAAAAATAGAAAACAACATCTGTACAATATTTAACGAGTGAAATAAATAACGTGGAAGCACTGAACGGCCGTTTCGTCCTATTATGGGACCCCTCAGCAGTGCGCATCCACGATCCCGCGAGCGGGATTCGAACCCAGGGCCTTCGGTCTCGCGCGCAGACGCTTAACCAACTGGACCACTGAGCCGGCATCCAGTGGTGATAGTTTCTAACATCAACCAATCCACGAAATTGCGCGACCAACTTCCATTGTACCTAAGTAGATAACTGTCTCTACCTGACAAGGATTAGCTCCACTGGTCACGGCTTCTCACTAGAACTTCGAGAATTCCCTCACGAAGCTAGTCACTAGTGAGCACATGTTGATTACTAGTATAGGGGTTGTGGAGATTATTAAGTTTTTTGATTGAGATCTTGAACCAATTGATGTTAGACCATCACAATTGAAAACCTGGAAGCACTGGACGGCCGTTTCGTCCTATTGTGGGACTCCTCAGCAGTGCGCATCCACGATCCCGCGAGCGGGATTCGAACCCAGGGCCTTCGGTCTCGCGCGCGAACGCTTAACCAACTGGACCACTGAGCCGGCATCCAATGGTGATAGTTTCTAACATCAATCACTAGTGACTAGCTTCGTGAGGGAATTCTCGGAGTTCTAGTGAGAAGCCGTGACCAGTGGAGCTAATCCTTGTCGGGTAGAGACAGTTATCTACTTAGGTACAATGGAAGTTGGTCGCGCAATTTCGTGGATTGGTTGATGTTAGAAACTATCACCATTGGATGCCGGCTCAGTGGTCCAGTTGGTTAAGCGTCCGCGCGCGAGACCGAAGGCCCTGGGTTCGAATCCCGCTCGCGGGATCGTGGATGCGCACTGCTGAGGAGTCCCACAATAGGACGAAACGGCCGTCCAGTGCTTCCAGGTTTTCAATTGTGATGGTCTAACATCAACTGGTTCAAGATCTCAATCAAAAAACTTAATAATCTCCACAACCCCTATACTAGAAATAAATAACGGCCAATAAGGAATGTCCATTTAAGGTCCAAGGACATCATTAGACTTAACATGATAATGACTGGTATATTATTCTGCATCCATAACAAATTCATACTGAAAAAACCTAAACAAATGAAAACACTGAAAGTCAATGAACGAGCCTCACCCTAAATCAATATGAGAACTTCGAGATTCTTCCCGAAATGTAGTATTCGGAGACGTAGCATACCTTATACTACTTTCGAAGAATCGTTGATTTCAACAACCGCACGAAATGTAAACAAAGTACATATTTCTGAAGGTTTGCATCACGAACTGACCTAGGTTAGATAATCAGTGAAAACCAAGAAGTGATGCACAGCTGCTTCGTTCTAATATGGAACTCCTCTGTAGTGCCCATTTACGACTCCACCAGATATCGAATTTAAAGCACTCAGGTTCCGCAGAGAGTGCACATTCTTCAGATCACTGGAATGATATACAATGGTTTATGTACCTTATTTTAATCGATCAGAAATATTACGCAACTATCTCTTAGTGTCGTTGCTAAGTGACAGTGCCTTACAGCAGACATAACTGGATTACATAAGTTCCGGTTTCCTATTAAAAATCTTGAAGTTATCTCTTGAAATTAGTTACTAATACGTAAATGATTATTTGTGTGAGAAATTTGTAGAGATTGTCGAATGTTATAATGTACATCAAGATTCTTAGATATTCGACTGTAAGTCAAGCTTGTTAATGTAAGTCCACTGTATTCCCTTAGATCAATCAGACTTGAAAAAATCGAATTAAATGAAAAGCAGACTTTAAGCCTATGACTTAATCATTAAAATTCATGTGATTTAAGCATAACTAAGGTTGGTAAGCTATGAAATATATAATTGGAGTGAAGCAATCATTACAACTACATACCAAAATCATATTTATAGATAGTACGATCTACCTGGAGCAATGAAAAGAAAAATACATTATCATATTTTCAAATTTTATATATATTTATGGAAAACAACTGAAGTACACACAAAAAAATGCTTAAAATATGAAGCGATGAGAAGCATAAAAATGAGATACTCTAAGTAGTAGTAAATGCACAAGTACATATACACACATATAAATGCATTGTATTGACGAAATAATGAAAGTATACAAAAAGAGAAATATAAAGTGACTACAGATTTACTAAATGTTAACACCATCTTTAGCAACTTTCAATTTAATCATATCGATAACATCTTTCACTGATCGTCCTGGATCTTTTAATCGAAGATGAACAATGGACCAGTTTAATTTTTCTATCCAACATGGTGCTAATTCTAATAACACGTCTAAGTGTTCACTGATAGCATCTACGCGTAGAAAGGAAAAATCATAAAAGATAGAATCAAGAGAGTGATTAATGAGGAAACAATGCACGATCATCTTTTAACTCATAAGCACCTGAGTCTTTAAGATCAAAATATGTTAGGTTTATTAAGAATTCAGTTAACTTATGAGTATACGTAAAAACCTGAAACATGATAACATTTACGTTATTTCTGTAAAATAGATGGACTGTGAATAGCACTTGAATCCACAGGTTGAGCGTTTCATCATAGCTGCATGTATCTGCATTCCAGTGTTGATATTCACAGTGAAACTTGAACTGTAGTAACTTTCGTTTCAAACACTCAGTGTTCAATCTATCTACTGGAGCTACACTCCAGATGGCTATTAACTATTCAACGAACATGATATTTACATTATTATTAACATTTATTTACTTATTTAAACACATAAACATTGGTACAAGGAGGCACTAAACAAATCATTTGGTTTGTGTGAGGCCTGGGATACTGCCTGGAAACCCAAACTGAAGCAGGTGGTTTTCTTGCGACGTCATTCCTTGAGCCATCAACCTGGAGGTATAATTCACAAGGTAATGGAGCAACGTCAGGAGATGCAGCTTCAGAGTAGCCGGTGACCAATAATAGGCTCATACGCCATTTGTTCCCTCAAGATCCTAGGACCCATGTGCACGATTGGTTTAGAATCAGAGTGAATCCTCGATATTGACCAACCAGGTTAAAGTGCCGGATATTCGCTTTCTTCCTCTCAATTTTGTAAACAACACTGCCTCGAGAAGACAGTGAGTAGGGTTTCCTTGGCAGTGTCTGTGTATGTGTGGCTATGTGAGACCATTTCGAGAGAGGGTATTGACTCCCTACTGTCGGCCGTAACAGGGTTTATTATTTGTTGACATATATGTGGATCCTGTGCGAATCGCATTGATATTGCCATCTTGTTAAAAGTTTTATCGAATGGCTATCGGTGAGATCCAAGACGAGCATTTGCCCTTATATGGGACTCGTCAGTTAGAGGTATCTAGGCTGCAGTGTTGATTTTTACGTTTCTTTCTCTTACAAGCACTAAACGCATAGTGTGTTCAAGCAAGTGTATTTATAAACCTTATCCACTTAACATTTACTAATGTTATACAATTAGACTAATTTTAAATAAGTTTTTGTCGAGATTCGATTGAATAGTTTCACAAACATTAAGGTGACTAATAGTAAATAGGAAAAAATCGAATCTAAGTGGTGGAAGTAAAATACAGTGTGAACATTATGTTCGACTGTCTAATTAGAGTTTCGAATGAAATAGAAAAAAAATTATCGGAGAATCCTGTGCTTATTTCCATAAAGAACCTGAAACCAAAATCCTGAACAAAATGTCAGAACTATTTGACTATATAAGCGCTAATGCTTTAACAAAATTATATTGTTGAAATATAACTATTCCCAGTGACTATTTATAATAGTGCAATAAAACTAGGAAAGTAATATATCATTATCAGTAAGGGTTTGAAGTATCCTGCTTAAATTCAGGACCAAGTTTCGATTGGTCTTTCTTGACATATGTATCCAAGTTTCCTCGATATATCCATCTTGGGATAGGTTTTTAGAATGGATGGATTGTAGCTAACAGTGGTATCTAAGACGTGCATTCCGTGCATCTCATATGGAATTCTTCATAGCTTGATATACTTGCAGTTCAGTGTCGATGTTCAAACTGGGACCCGAAGCCCGTATGGGAAAGTAATAGATTTCAGCATAACTGGACAAACAGATAATTAACTTTTCACCAACATCTAGCAACAAAAATTGGAAAGAGATATCCTTACCAGTTCTCCATTCTTTAAGTTTGATACACAAGCTGAAGGATCAAGTGCTTGCCATAATTTTTTATCAAAATGAGAATGGAAATCCGAAACTTGACAGCATCTAATGATGTAAATGTTTGCTTCAATTTCATTATCGTAACAAATTAGAAAACTGGAATGATCTTGTTTTTAATATTACCATCGAAAGAAGACTGATTATGTGCATTTTCTCATAGGCTTATTTTCTAGATTTCATTAATGACGCTGTGAACTCCAATCAAATTAGATGGCTTAGACATGTGTTATAAATACCCAGACACCACATACTTTGACATGAGAGCCTAGCTGGTGTACGTTGAAAGCTAAGGATGGATGAATCAACCAGTTCATGAACCTACGAACCGCTATGACGAAAAATTATTTTCTATCTTTAGTTGTTTTTACCTTTATCGATATAGAATTGTATTATAATTATACTACTTGTGAGTAACAAATATTTATTATTTTCTCTTCTTTACGATTGGTTAGATTAACTATTGGTAAACTAACTCTTCGCTTATTAGTTAACATGTTGAATGTATTTTCCTGCGCTTGACTGCCTTGAGAATAGATTGTAGTTGTTGTGTTAATCATCTTGACTAAAACTAATCATTATTTATTGTACAACCACCTATTATTTATTTACAAGAAGTCAAGACAGTATTTTGATTTTAATCGACCTCGAGTGGATTATTACAATGAAGTTATCAATCGATACAGGTATTATTCCAACTCCTATTCATCTTGTTAACTTCATCTTGATAAGCTGTTATGGAACAGCAATTTGGACATTTGTGCTAAGTCTTACACTTTATGAATAACTGAGTCAATATCCTTATTAGCGAAACTTTTTGCACAAGATGATTGGGTTAAGAAATTCCAGTGCATTGTTTAGGAATTAGATATTTATGAAGATTACATGTCTTATGTCAGCCCGTCTGTAGGGTCTATCTTTAATCAAGTTGAATAAAGCATCATGTTTTACTTGAAATTTAGGTAAAATGTGAACAGTATAAAAATAAGTCTACATATATTCATACCACTTTATAGGTTGAAATAAAATAAATTGCACTCCGATAAAATATTACCTCCCTCTCTCATAAAAAAATCAATAATTCTGATAAATCTTTCTACATTTAAAATATAGCAACACCGATAGAATATGGGGATAACAATGAACGAAAGGATTCTCAGCATTAGCAAGATATTCCCTTAACTTGATAGCCTAACTGCTAAATGTATAATCCGAGATTATTATGAATTTTGACAAGTAGTGGAAAGTGACTAACACATTGTATCTTGGTTGCACTTACCTGCAGAAAGTCCGCTAGGATGAGAGTCTGCCACACGAACAGCGACAGTTGACAGTGGAAGTGGACGGGCATTGCATGGACGTAAAATACTCCAAACCTGAGTTATTATTAATGGTAAACGACAGTAAATAGCTCGTCTGGCCTCTGAAACTTTCCCATAAGTAAGCTCAGTAAGAAGACGTCGCTCATTTTCCCGAGCACGCACCTTAGGAATAAAACACAAAGCCATGAATGATACATTTTTTATATTAACACGTTCCGTAAATCATACCTCAAAATTAAACACAAAAGTCCGATAAAAAACTGAAAAGTCAAATGATATCTTTGTTTAATGATAAGTACAGTGAAATGTCAGCATATATATAGTGATGAATCCTTCGATCTATAAAAAAAGCACACATAAAAGCCAATGTAACAAGTTTTAGTAATAGACGATATGCGGCTAACAGTGGAATTTAGGACGTGTCTATTGTCTAATTTGGAACTTATCAGCTGGATTTACTTGCGTTCCGTTGTTGATAGTCACACTGAGACTCGAATCCAGTAAATTTCGCTTCAGGTGTCCAACAAATCAATTGCAGTCACGAATATCAGCAGTGAAAAGTCGTAAATGGTTAGGTAAATGTGTTAAAGAATCTTCGAAATGAAGAAGGGTGAACTTGAAGCCATGATCCAAAAGTAAGTAGTGGTTGAATGTACTGCTAACGAAACCACAGATTCACTCATGGAAATAATGAAGAAAATATAATAAATTGGATATATTTAGACAGAACAAGAACTACAAGGTTTGCATAATAGATGGATTCTTTAGTCTATTTCACAGTTTCTCATAAGCTCCATACAACCAAAAATTATAATTATTAATATAAAAAAAATTATTAACTAAAGTTTAGCATACTTTAATGTAGCCCGGTGAGTAGTAAACCTTTAGACCATTTAACCCATGTTTAGTGGCTTACACACCCAAATATTTATTTATTTATTTGAACAAATGAATATTGGTACAAGAGGGCACCAAATATGTAAGCGCCACGCAAAACAATGGGAATTTGAAGAGGAGAAGGAAAAAAGGTAAGGAGCATTAAAAAAAGCAATAACGAACAGATTAAGGTAAGATAGCGTAATAATAATAATAGGGGAAACGGAAAAGTACAACCAGAAGAAATCTTTCAGTTAAGGAAAATACAACCACTTCTTATGAAGAAAGTAAAGGAAGGTTACAGCAGGATCGCCACTGGCTTCTATTCTGAGCCATATCTGATAACGTCTCTAGCCACTGTGTCGCACAATCTCTCGGACCCCAACCAGGGAGTCGTGAAGGACCAACACAAGCCAGCCCTTTGCAGCTTTCTTCCATACCCCGACACCATGTCATACACTAACTACCTTCGTTTTTTCCAACCAGTCCCAGAGTCGGCAAATAATGCACAACGTGGAATTCTCTGGAACCACATTCGGAGAACATGTTCAAGCCACTAAAGTCGGTGTTTCAAGATATTGACACCAATTGGATTATCGTCTGTGCCCGAACACACGATGCCGAACCTCTGCATTAATGACATGGTGTTGCCACTGGAAGTCAGCAATCGTTCGGAGACAGCGGTGATCAAACAAAGAGTTTCAGATGTTCTTTAGTTGTAGATCTGCTGCTGTCGCTTTGTGTTATGTTCGTTATGCTTGAATGCTAGTACAGATTCGTCTTACTCGAACGGAACGAAGGATCAATGATTCAGAAACTCGATAGCTATTCTGGTTCACTGTCCCCGGTTCAGCTAACTCGATCAAGTCTGGGTAAGGTGTAGAATGTGTATTTTACAGACAAACAGCAGATAACAAGTCAAGTCAAGCATACAAATCAAGCGTATTTATACAAATATTTACAATCGATATTGTCATGGAAAATTTTTAAACATTAATCAATGAGTTCATCAATTGACCGCTATTTAACATTTAATCGATAGTTCATCAATTGACCTATTGGCACATTTAATCGATAGGTTCATCAATTGACTGAAATTCAAACATTTAATCGTTAAGTTCATCAATTGACCCCAATACAAATATTTAAGCATTTAATCGATAAGTTGATCGATAAGATAAAATTTAAAAATATGAGTTCTGGGGATTTATCGTCCCCAACACTTTGCCGATCCGCACCTTCATATCTGAATCAGATCCACCATGTTCATCAATGATGCTGCCCAAACATGTAAAGGTTTTTGCATCTTCCAAAGCTTCTCCGTCAAGTGTGATTCGGTTGGTGCATGCTCCGTTGTATCGGAGAATCTTGCCTTTCCCTTTATATATGTTGAGACTTACTGCTGTTGAGGCTGCTGCTACACTGGTCGTCTCTTCCATTTGTTGTTGCGTGTGCGACAGAAGAGCCAGATCATCTGCAATTAGCCAATCACTTATTAATTTAAATACTTTTACATCACCTCCGAATTATTACTTTCCAGAGCATAAATACACATATATCTTTATTATGTTTATTCATATACTCGGTATCCCTTTTCTTATTGCAATGATTTTGGTTACGTTTTGACAACTGTTACTCTTCGTGATGGAGTATAGGCCGCCTACCCGCATTCTCCATCCAACTCTGTCCTGGGCAGTCTTTTCCAGTTGCTAATCATCCTTTTCATGTCTGTTTCCAATCCTCGACACAGTGTGTTCTTTGGCCTTCCTCTTTTTCGTTCCTCTTTAAGATTAAGTTCGGACTTGTCTTGTGATGCAGTTTGGTGATTTCCATAATCTATGTCCTATCTGACGTTTTGAACAGTTATCTAAACATTACAAACTAAAGTTTGTCAAACACTTGTTAATAATTATATTTATATTAATTATTGCAACTCTTGGGTTGCATGCAGCTGATGAGAATCCGTGAAATAGTTTGTTGGATTCACTCTATCCTGCGAATCTTGTTGCTCTTGCGCTGTTCAAATTTGTTAAGGGATATGGTTGTATGGAATTAGATATAGGACAAAGCCCATATTTCCAAATTACTTGATTATGGCAATATTGATGCTCATCTTTACCATTACTACTATTATTAGTAGTAGTAGAAGTACTATTACTACTACTAGAAGTATATTTGTTAGGAATTTTAGTCATCAGTCAGTGGTCTTGAGTGCTGTTACGGAATTTATTCTCAACTTCAAGGAAACTAGTATCCTTTTCTATAGAACTGTGTTGAAAATTAAAGAAATCATCACGAATAAGTGTTGACAGATATTTAGTCGATGTTGTAAAACATCCTGATGATTATTAAAAATCGTATGACTTTTTGAAATGGTGTACACCATGAGTTCAACTGTGAAATCATAAAAGAAAACAATTAAAAATATCGCTGACATTGTAACAAAAAAAGAGAAATCTAATCATTTCTCAGGACCAACTAACTTTCAAATACCTTTACTCAGTTAAAATGATGTACTCAAACAAACAGATCACAGATATGAGGATGGTAACTCAACTGACTAGATAAACAAATGTAAATCACATATAGATACTGATATCACTCACTTTATTGAGAAGTGCTAGAGATATACCCTTTAAATTATTCGGTGTAGAAGTAATCACTCTATCGTTAGACTCTTTAGAATCTGTTTGCGTACCTACAAGATTGCTTGCTGTATATGCTGTGCTATCAATAATATTGGATACTTTCAGTGGCGATGCTGCTACAGACTTTTTTGGACTTGGTATAGGAGATAGTTGTTGCTTGGACAGAGATATTTGATGACACGTATCGGCTTCACGAAACAGAGCACGAGCTTGAAATGCTTTGACAGCATCTTTTGCTGATGTAATCTTCTGCTCAAAATCTGATGGTCTAATAGGCAATGGGGATGAAACTATACATGCAACAGCAGATTCTAAAGGGAATTTCGGATGCCAACGACGAAGGGATGAATCTTCTGGAAGTTCAGATGGATCTATTCCAAGCTCCGAAGTTAAAAATACCTGAAAATATCAAACGATTCGCAATTCAGTGTAACTATAATGTGCTAATGACCAAATGTTCTTGTTGTATAGAACATATGTTACTACCAAATGTATATTTAGGTATCTGGACAGATATACTCCGGAAATAAAAATCTTCCTACATGTAACATCCTTTCAGCATAACCTCTGGAAACATGTAGCTAAATTGTTACTATATAAGACGTTTTTTAATGGACATCAGTGCAGTAAGCGACATGGATAATGATTACTATTGATTGAATCAATAACAAATGTATTAATACAATAAATAATGGTGGGTTAAATCAGTGATCACAAAGTCATCGTATATATACTGAAATAATGAGTTCTTGCTAACTACATAAAGTAGACTTAGGTCAAATTAAGCTCCATCACGAATGTTTGTTAATTAAACATTACTGATGTGTTGTTAGTGCGACCCGAGAAAAGCCGTCAGTTAAGACTAACTCTAGTACTAAAAGAGGTATGGAGGATGGTCGAAATTCTCAGTTATCTGCATTGTGGAGTTATACTGCTTTCCGAGTAAACCGACACAGAAACTATCTTAGTAGTGGTCCTATTGATATAGGTGTGATTATCGAGTAACAAGGATATGTACTCCAGAACGGTCAGTTACGGTTTTTGTGAAGTAATTTTTAATTTATTAGCTTCGTACTTCTGAAAAATTGCCGCTAACACTGGGATTTTATAGAGCAGTAGAGGATGAGCTACTTTTAAGCTCAACCTTTCCTAACTTGCTTCTGTTGTGGAAAGGGAGGATTGCCATAAGTATTGATTATTCGTAAGAAACGATACTGGTGTTACACCTCAGCATAGTCGGCAGGATAGCTTTACCTTCAAATCTCAATTTTGTTGTCTTTAGTCTGATCGCTTTGCAACCGCAATGCCTAGAGTGGTAGAACTACAAAGAACACATTTTTTAGTCAACAGATCTCGAACGGTTCAACACAAGAACCAAGTCTGACCATCACTCTATGGTACAAGCTACAGATGCAAGTCAGAAAAGTAGCTGATCACATATTAAATACAAAGTTCTTTAGAATTAAACTGCTAAGCAAGCTACCATTAGGCTATAATACAACCAATATATATGTACAAATGAAAATAATTATAGTAAATTTAAGAAATCATAACTAACCCGATGTGATTTTAAAACTAGATTAATTAACAGAGAATGGAAACGATTTCGACGTTGAATTAACCGCGTTCCACTGAATGGTAGAAATCCTTTTGACGGAGAATCATGTCCAACTTTTGTTCCATCTGAAATGAGGAAAATTTCTTAATCAAAATCTAAAAATCAACACAATTTAAACCCGTTGTATATTAGTAAACAGTGGAACACAAATACCTTATGTAATACAAATAATATATGGTAATTAGCTGTCTAAATTTGCAGCGACAGATACTGTAGCTAAAAGGATGTGTTGCATGTACTCGGATTTTAGTGAGCTTCAGTATTTATTTCAACTATGGTAAAAATCGATCACTTTAGTTGCTAGATATCTTAACAATATGCTAAAAGCTGTGATAAAGAGTAGACTGAGCTTAAACTAAGCTGCAACGTCCCAATTAATAAGCACAAAAAATATGAGTCACTGGTAATAATTGTAATAAATCATTTATAATAATTCGTAAGAATCAGTTGAAAATGTATGTAGTTCACCACTGAGATAACAGTGGGTAACCTTAAATGTAGATTAGAACATGAAAAAGATTTAGGGACTAGTAAATGAATAAAACACCTAGATTTTCGTTTAGAATCCTAATTTCATAACACCTAGCAATATATAAATATATCAGTATGGGGATTTGTGGAGATTGTATTATTTTCACAATTGAAATCACGAATCCATCTCAACTAGAACACCGGTGAAAACTTGGGAGTATTGGACGGCCGTCTCGTCCAAGTGTTGTGCACCTCAGAAGTGCGCACCCACGATCCCGCGCGGGGAACTCAAACCCGGGACCTTAACTTATAGATCACTGAGCCGGCAATCCAACGGTGTTAAGACTTAACTCCAATCAATCCATGATCTTGAAAAACCCTTCATCCACTGCCCGAAGTGGATATATCTCATAACCGTCCCGTGTGTGGGATCGTGGATGCGCACTGCTGATGAGTCTTATACAAGGACGAGACGGCCGTCCAATACTTTCAGATTTCCAATGGTGGTCTAACTTAGATCAACTCGTGATTTTAATCGTGAAATTAATAGAATCTCCCTAAATGCCCATACTAATAGCAGTCATTTGCTCACTAGTGACTAGCTTCACAACGTAACTCCTAGAATTCTAATGAGAGGCCGTGACCAGTGGAGTCCAATCCGAATATACATATCAGAACTCACTAAAACACAATTATAGGTCACACATACAATTAATTATCTATACTAAAGTTCTGTCCAACGTATGAAGATTTTTTGCTTTCAAAACGGGAAAGTAATATAATCCTGAAGATATTTATTCCACTAACCGTTAATGTTTTACCACTTAGTGAGGCCACATAGTTATTGAATACCAATGTAGGACTAAACCCGAAGTAGATGTACAAAACTTGCTGAAGCCTCGATCCTATATTAACTAATAATGTTCGAACCTAAGTTGGAAGTCCCGAACACACATCTTAAATCATATTTATGATAAAATAAATATCGCTGATGCCATAGTTATTTTATTTTATTTTAACACATAGATAATGGTACAAAGAAGCACCAAATACATATGCGCCACACAAATCTCATTCGATATGTGTGAGGGCTGTGATACTACCCGGGTGCCCAAACCGAAGCAGGTGGTTTTCTTAGGAGGCCACATCCCGAGCCTTTGACCTGAAGGTCTGATCCACAAGGCACTGGAGCATCGTCAGGAGATGCAGTCCCATGGAAGCCGATGACCAACAATTGGTTCATACGCCATTTGTTCCCGCAGGATACTGGAGCCCATGTGCACCATTGATTTGTGATCCGGTTAAAGCGCCGGACATTCGCTTTCCGTCCTCTCATTTTCGTAAACAACACCCCCGCCACGAGAAGGCAGTGAGTAGGACTTTCTTGGCAGAGGCTATATACGCATGGCCATGTGAGAGCATTTCGAGAGGGAGGGCGTGCCCACCCCAATTTCGGCCATACCAGGGCATTTGGGGGCCATAGAATGACGGTTGCGCAATATCACAGTTTGCTCGAGGTTAGAAATGTAAACCATTAGATGCTAATTAAAGGGTCTGAAGGTTAAGCATTTTCCGAAAGGCATCAAGGTCCTGAGTTTGATTACAGATGAGACAGTGGAAATGAATTGTTGAGTAGTCCCATTCTATGGAGAAACAGAGGTTAAGTGCTTCCTGGTTTCTAGTAATTCTTTAACTAAAGCCAGTCAGCGGTGTGGGGCTTCAAAAGATAAAATAATTAATTTTCTACACTATCATTGCTGTAGTCATACCTACAAAAATATAATTTTAGATGTCATAAAAATGTAAGCAAACGTTGACTTCACTACTGAAAATATTTTGAACACATACCAGTACGTAAATTGGGTGATAAAACGAGTACATAATTCCCATTTAATCGATGTGTGAATTTATCAAACTGCTTCTCATAGCGCAGAAAATAAACCATAGGATAGACAGTTAGAAATTGACCGATATGAGTTTCTTCAAAATTCCTAGATGACATACAAGGTAAGAAGATAAATAAAAAAATTTACATAAATTAGCAATACAGGGTGCTAATCACCATGGAAGGTAGAACCAAACAATAGCCAAATAAGTCAAATGGATTAAAATCCACATTTCATAATAACTAGCAGTCGAGAACCCCAACTACAAAATCAAAACACCATTGTGACAGAATTAACACAACTGCGAAAAAAAACTAGTTTGAATCTACTCAAATAAGGAAAAAGATTCTGGAGCTAGAGTAGAAATTACTGAGTTTACTCTCAGATCCTCCCTTAGGAAATCGTTTTAAACTATTTGAACTGCTATTATTTCAACACATAAATATTGGTACAAGAGGGCACCAAATATGTATGCGTCACACAAAACAATGAAAATGGGGAGACAAAAAACGAAGGCAAGAAGCGTAAAAGAAAAAAAGAAGAGGAACAATAACGGCCAGATTAGTGTAAGGAAGTGTAATAATAATAATAGAGGAAACGGAAAAGTACAACCAGAAGAAATCTTTCAGTTAAGGAAAATACAACCACTTCTTATGAAGAAAGTAAAGGAAGGTTACAGCAGGATCGCCACTGGCTTCTATTCTGAGCCATATCTGATAACGTCTCTAGCCACTGTGTCGCACAATCTCTCGGACCCCAACCAGGGAGTCGTGAAGGACCAACACAAGCCAGCCCTTTGCAGCTTTCTTCCATACCCCGACACCATGTCATACACTAACTACCTTCGTTTTTTCCAACCAGTCCCAGAGTCGGCAAATAATGCACAACGTGGAATTCTCTGGAACCACATTCGGAGAACATGTTCAAGCCACTAAAGTCGGTGTTTCAAGATATTGACACCAATTGGATTATCGTCTGTGCCCGAACACACGATGCCGAACCTCTGCATTAATGACATGGTGTTGCCACTGGATGTCAGCAATCCTTCGGAGACAGCGGTGATCAAACACAGAGTCTACTAACATCCTCAACTCGGATAGGCCAGGTTTCACAAGCATAGAGCAGAACTGCTCTCACCAATGCGTTGTAGATCCGACCTTTTACAGCCAGACTGACATCACGAAGGCGCCAAAGATGGCCCAGATTGACATAAGCCAATCTGTCTTTCACTATATGTGCATTGATCTCATCACTCACGCCACCATCAGCACTTATGCAGCTACCTAGATACACAAACTTTTCGACTACTTCTATCTGCTCACCATTCAGGGCGAGTACAGGATTAGAATCCTGCCAGTCTTGTAGAATTACTTTGCACTTCGAAGGTGCAAAGCACATACCGTACCTACGGACACTGATTGCCAACTGATTAAGTGCGGATTGCATGGCTCGGGCTACCATCAATACCAACATGAATGCATTTGATGCAGTCACCGTTATCATATGTATTTAATACTATGGGAAGAAAGTTATTACTACTGAAGATTTCTAGTCATATAATGAAGAATAGCTGATCAGCTTATAAGGATCAGTAACAGCACTTGAAACCTATTTTACTGTGTTCAAACTTTATGTCCATCACAGCAAAAGGAATCAGCATACTAGAAATCTAGGAATAAACAATATAGAACTATAATACTCTCCTCAATTGTAACTCTCAATGATCATGTTATCGACTTAGAATGTAACTCACAGATCACAATACTTACTGAAAACCAATCCATGTACACGGTTCATGGGAGGAAATAACCACGAATTATTACAGAGAAATCTATTTAGTACATAGCTAAAAGTTGCACGTCACCTGAAGATACTAATTTAAAATCAATAAACCACATGCCTACGTCACAAAATTGTTGATTCATATATCCACACTACTAAAATCGATCAAGAGGAAGCAAAATATTACCTTAGAAACAAGGATCAATCACACGAAACATGATAAGTTAGAGAAAATGAGTAAAATGAACAAATGAAATAGTGATGCCTAAACGTAGCTCTAGTCACCTATTATCCAAAGAATTAGCGTGGCACAATATTTAAAAGTCTACTCATTGGGTTGCAAAAAGTTAAAAAAATTAACAAATCACTTCAATAATAAAAAGCTCGACAATTACCGACTGAAAAAGACTTAATCTACCTGCGCGTAATTTCTTGAACAGCTGGTTGGATTTTATCGAAACTGCAAAGTTCTTTTCTGTTGTGCAGCATGCTGACAACTGTATCACAACTTCGAAAAAGTTCCAACAAAACTTGTAAGTTGTGAGGAAGAAAAAGATCAGGAGGGACTGTTAAATCTGTTTGTGTTAAATCAAGATCCTTGGAAGATACAGCACTCTGAGTTTCAATAGAAGTTTCAGGTTCAGTCGATTGTGGCTTTAATGAAGAAACAGGTTCTGATAAGTGAGCGAAACGTTTAAAAGCGGGCAGCTTTGAACTATTATCTTGTATTGAGTCTGATGACTGAGATGATTTTAGCTTGATCACTTTCTTCAGCTGTGTGCGTTTTTTCAGCTGTATGACGGTCTATAAAGGACAACAAACAAAATGAACACGAAAATTCCTGCCAGAAATCGTAAAGGACTGCCCTTTATATATATGGCACGCGCCGTGCTCAACCAAAAACAGCTAGTAAGACAGTTTGCGCTATGTTGAAAAAGTCGTATAACCAAACAAAAAGTAGGTCAGTAAGCGAGACAATAGACGGGTAGCAAATATAGGTGTAGGAAATGACCACCTTCCCTCCCTTAAGAGCGTTAAATAATACAGGCATAGAGAATAGAAAATAAAATAGTACCTACTGATGTTGTCAACAACATAACATCTAGGATACTTGGTGAAAGTAACAGGTCAAGTGATAATAACCGATGCGTAACAAAAAAACTGAGTCTAGTGGTCGACTTTAAAGAAATTCTGTATTATTTCATCAAGATAGCGACAAATAAACCACTAAACTAAGGTAACAACAAGGCTAAGTCAGCATACTAGTGAGTACGCTTATTCCAGAATGTGATACTAAGGAAAAGCCTAATGATACACCTGACTGTTTTGATTAGTATATTTTAGAGGTCACTTGCACATGGAATAATTTTGCGTTCTCTTACTTCAGTAAGTTTTCTAATTACGTTTACCTATGTCTACCAAAAGCAGATTGTTGTTAAACACAACGATTATCAATTATGGAGCCCCCAAATGGCCTGGTATGGCCGAAATTGGGGTGGGCACGCCCTCCCTCTCGAAATGCTCTCACACGGCCACGCGTATACAGCCTCTGCCAGTGAAGTCCTACTCACTGCCTTCTCGTGGCGGGGGTGTTGTTTACGAAAATGAGAGGACGAAAAGCGAATGTCCGGCGCTTTAACTAGATCAAAAACCAATGGTGCACATGGGCTCCAGTATCCTGAGGGAACAAATGGTGTATGAACCAATCTTGGTCACCAGCTACCATGGGACTGCATCTCGTCACAATGCTCCACTGCCTTGTGAGTTAGACTTTTAGGTCAAAGGCTCGGGATGTGGCCTCCTAAGAAAACCACCTGCTTCGGTTTGGGCACCCGGGCAGTATCACAGCTCACACACAAACGGAATGAAATGACAATACTTAGGGAAAATACTACACTTGCCTCGATTAACAGTCAAACGATTCACGTTATTATTATTATTTACTACGTCATTTACTCACTCTCTTTTATTCCCACTTTATGTATGTATGTATTTTTCCACTTATATAGCAGATCGCCTATGGTGGAAATTCGACTCAATCTAAACGTTCTCGAGTCACTGTCCGGTTGAAAATTGTATGCTACCACCAAACACGAATACTGAAGCAGTTTTTCTGAAACCACGTGCACCATTCAAACTGGCTGCCTTCAACGTTCGCACACTTATGCAGGTCGGACAACAGATAGGGCTGGCTATGTCTTTATACCCTCCTTACCATTTTTTTCTTTTTCCTTCTCTTCAAACTCTCATTGTTTTGTGTGGCACATATATCTTTGGTGCCCTCTTGTACCAATATGCATGTGTTCAAATAAACAAATAAATAATGTCTTTGGAAAGTCTTAATATCGATGTTTGTTGTCTATCCGAGACCCGCATTCAAGACTCTGGTGAAGTACTACAAATTCGCTCTCGTTCTGTCGCTTCAAAAAGCTTGTTTTACTTGAGTTTATCCGGGGACCCTGTGGCATCTTCTTCTGTTCTTGCTGGCGTTGGTGTTGCACTAAGCGTTAGAGCTGAGGTTGCACTAATCGACTAGATCCCCATTAACAGTCGGTTACGTGCTGTAAGATTAGGAAGTTCCATCAAAGTGAGAAGAAATCGGCGTGAGGAACGATGTCTTTTCGTCATCAACTATCGAAGGATAAGCTTACTTCCGCTTGCGTCCAAGCTACTGGCTTCTGTCATACTTCGTAAGTTGTTCAAAAGCCGAGAAAGATTGACTCGCGAGGAGCAGACTGGTTTTTTTCTGGTCGAGGATCCTGCTGTAACCTTCCTTTACTTTCTTCATAAGAAGTGGTTGTATTTTCCTTAACTGAAAGATTTCTTCTGGTTGTACCTTTCCGTTTCCCCTATTATTATTATTACACTTCCTTACACTAATCTGGCCGTTATTGTTCCTCTTCTTTTTTTCTTTTACGCTTCTTGCCTTCGTTTTTTGTCTCCCCATTTTCATTGTTTTGTGTGACGCATACATATTTGGTGCCCTCTTGTACCAATATTTATGTGTAGAAATAAATAAACAAATTATGGAAATGCAGGAAAAATATCCGATACATATAACAACATAACGAAGAAGCTTAATCAGGTCTCCAAGTGGCATTATATGTTTTAGCAAGTCACACACTAAGACCTGATTTACATTTAAAGATTATTATACTTCATTTACGTCGTTTAAGGAATTGGAAGGCTGATATCAATGACACTTTCAGTTTGATTTTCAATACTTGGTAACAAAAGTGGATGTAGGCTGAAGTGTTAGGATGAGATAATCACTTTTTTGTTTATAGTACATTTCACGACAATGTCGTCTTAATGTAATCACACTACACCACACAATCTTGGGTAAGAGAGCGCTTAATAACGATGATCAGTTAAAACTTGACAAACAGTCTTACACCCAAAAAACATTAGTTTATGGTGACCCCCTGAAGCTAAAAGTTTGTAACTACTCATGAAAACGTCATTGAAACCAGTTTTAGTACTAAAAGTATTTACAAACCACCGCTACAAATAAAAAAATACGGTGAAACTGACCTTTTCTTGAGGCGGAGGGCAAAATGAGGAGCTGCTTAGGACTTCACTTTGTTTATCTAACTTTATGACAGTTGTTTTTATTGTTTCAGCCTCAGAAGCGGACTCTTGAGTAGGTTTGGTAAGGTGAGAAAAACGCTGATAAGCTGGTCGCTTTGATCTAGATAACTAATAACAATATATATAATCCGAAATCTCATAATCTACCTCTGTTTCAGGCGAGGTCTCAAGAACTGCTCTTTTGGCTCTTCCTACATTTTGAGGTGTCTTACTAACTCGGAAGAAATTATCAAGACGAGTATTTGGCATTCTCGAAATACCCGCTAACGTCCAGTATTACACGAAAGTCGTTTACGCGCACTATTCGCTAACGCTGATGAAAATTATTTAGTCCAATATACAATATCTCCATCATTAGCTCATTTTAAACTGGTTGACTTCCTTGATTTCGCTTTTTGTCGTTTCGCCAAGATTTCAGGTATTTGAGTATGCTCGATAGGCAGTAGTCTAGTCACTCGATTGCACTTATTCATGTTCGTTAGTTATTTGTGAACTTGTATATCCTGTAGTTGACTGAGTGACTGAGTTTGTCTCACGTCGACGTGGCTTCTGAATACCAGTAGACAATGCATTACAAGGTAGGATGTTGGTAGTTAGCAATGTGAAAAATAATAAGGTGATAATCCGAGTGTTCAGAGTAGACCATTGTATCAAGAAATTGATAAATAATTTACTTAATTGGTAACGTGTAAGAGGACAGATATGATATTAAGAGACGTAGAAAGTAGTAACTGATATAATGTGCCGGTAACAGTAGTGATTAATGACACGTGTATCAGAGCCGAGTGGTCCGAATTGGGGATAGCAACCCGTAGGTGAATATATGTTGTTTAAGTCCATTCTTTAAGCTATCCACTGAGGGGGCTGCTGTTACTTCAGGTGGGAGAACATTTTAAACAGGAGCAATGCTTAGTGAAAAAATTAGAGCTTACCTGAGAGTTGGCTCACTGATGTACAATCGTTCGAGTGTTGCGTCAAGGAGTCTGATGATGGTGTTCTGATAGTATGCTCGTGTTGGGTTGATTTAGCGTACTTAATATGCTGTATGTTATTGTTAGATCACCTCTTGTTCCCTTTTTGCTCAAGAAGAATGATCTCAGGTGTTAAATTCTGCATTCATAAGATTTATGCCCCTCTCCGTACTTGGTCTAAGAATTTTATATTCCCTTATAAAGAGATGAGAAGCTGCGACATTGTGGGCTTCAAAGTGAAGCAATGAGTATGCCTTGAACAGTGTTAGGAGCAACGTTAGGTTCGCTGAACTAAATGTTTCTCTCATAAAATGGAGATTTACATTTACTTTGATCTGGTGTCTAAGTTTTGTGATTACAAGCTCGAGGTTACGCTTTGAAGAGACAGCCGGGTTTGGATTTCCATTGGGAGTGTAAGCGTTTGAATCGAATGAAACGGAATGCTCAGACTTGAAATTTTGGTCAGGTTAGATTTTAACGGGTTGTTTGCTCTTCATTCTTTTCTTATTGTAAGGTGTTTTTGAACCTTAAGTCCATTCCATTTTCTTTTCATGAGCCTGTGTATCTTTCCGTCGCTTGTAAAGACCAATGCCGCTGAACTAATTTTGTCTAGTGGGTCGTTAGTAAAGACCAGGAGCAGGAATATACTTAGGATTGCCTCTCACGAGACTCATGATGTTGAAACATTTTAACTCGTGTTCACTCTATCTTACTTAGGGCGAACCACCTTGTTCTCAAGGTAGCGCCAAGTTAAAAGCGATTGAGCAAAACCTGTCTCTGAAACATAAGCCATGAAAAGTACATGAAGTACTGCATCAAAGGCTCTTGTAAGATGGAAGTTTGTCACATGAACCGGTGTTTTATGGCCCTAGCAGTCATCTAGTTTTTCTATGCTGTGCGTAGTTTGGATACACAGGACCTGCGTTTACGGAACCCATGTAGGGATCCATAGACGATGTTGTTTTTACCCATATATCCCGTCATTTCGTCGTTGACCAATCTTTCCATTACGTTTAAAAATACTGCGTGCAGTGTGACTGGTCTTTTCTATCTCATCTTTGAGAATTGTAGAGAGAGTAAGCCGCTTCTTTTCTCTTGTCAGTAGGAATAAATCTTGGGACTTCCTGAACTGGTCACACTAAAGTGTGCTAATGACTTCTGAGCATTGTTTTAGAAATACAAATCAGGTGTTTCCACGTTCGAGTGGCTTTCCTGAGTGAAAAGACTTTAGTCTATCTAGTACTATCACGGAGTTAGCTGGATATCGCCTGAACCCCCAGCTGTTACTAGTGTGAAGAGATGTTCGGAGCTTTTGGGCTACCGGTTAAATTGGTATTAAGGATTTCTTCCGTCTGAAAGACAGTAAGATCTTTGCCCTTTGAACACTAACGAGTAGAGATCTTTCGGTTTGTGGACTTTCTTCTAGTTCTGAATATATACAGATATTTGTGGTTAGTTTTCATTTTAGTTATTAGCTTGGTCTGAAAGCCTACTGTACCTCACCTAATTCAGAATCGTCATCTTGCAGACATGTGCTCACCCTGAAGTACATTGTGTTAGATAGCGCTCTAACTGATATTCCTCACTACCTCCCATTGATCACCAACTGTTAGCCTCCACCACTCTCGCAGCCATGAGGTATTTGTGGACTTCTGAGAGTTCGCATTTTTTGTAGTATGAATTTTGAAGCCCTCTAAAATGATAAATATGAAAGCTTTTTTCGTTTCCCGGAGACTTGGTTAAATAGCGGATTCCCAGATAAGATCATAAGTGATTTCAAGAGGATGGAAGGAAGATTGAGAACTAAGACTTAACAATACCTGTTGTCTATCGGTTAGTCAGATTAGGATTTGGACTGTTATAAAGCTAAGGTTAGTACTGGGGCTTGTACCTTGGCAACAGATATCATTGACAGAGTACGAAACCCTCGATAACTGGCTAGCGTTTGAATGTATTCCGAGATATTTAAGTCAGTATTATGTCTCTGATTTTGCAAGTGTTCGCCAAAACAGAGTACTTATAGTATTTAATCCCAATAATAGGCTAATTAATGAGTTAAAATAACGTGGGGACAGAAAAATCATGAAAATAGTTGATGGGTGAGTTTAATGACATTCATTCCTATTTGTCTAGCCATAATAGTTTAGTGATGTCCCGGTGCCCCTAATCCAAGACATCGTCCCTAAATGTAGCATTTATACTAGATGATTCCGTTTGTAAGTATCAGTGGTATCAACTGACTATATATCTGCGAGCCACTCCCTGTTTGCCAATTCCATTTGTAGAGATTTCACTTTGTTCATATCCATAGACGAAACATTTACGGAAAAATGACAAAGTTCTTCACCTGTTTCTAATTGTAAGCATGGTGCTCTATTCCACAAATCATAAATATCTAGCAACTGACAAACCATTCTATGAACCAGAGGGAATTTGGAGTACTCTGGATGTTACTCTCTTCTTCTCTGATTACATCAGTAGGGCTACAAAATTGTGTTATGCACCCGATATAACATGGTTAATGCAATGTAGAGTCTAAATACACTCTCTTAAGTCTGTATCTGTTTTTGAAGCCAGTCATCATTTTGCTGCTACTAATATCACAGTCGGCTAATTAATGACAGCTGTCGTTTTTGATTTGTCATTGCATAAATTGACATATATGGTTTAATTAGCAGTAGGATTCAGCTAATTTTAAGCCACGGAAGCTAGAGGAGAGAAGCCCAATAATACACCAAATTAACGAGTCTTCAATTTACATTATGCTAGTTAACTAACAATGAGAGAAATCATTTCTCATATATAAGAAATGTGATTCCTTCAGCATCTGATTAAGAAAATTCGTCAGCCCAAACATAAAAAGCCAGTGTATGATTGTTTACCATAAATAACTTTCAAACTTATTCACCTATCGCATAAAGTTTGGATCTCTCAGCTTTGTTAAATGAGATTATTAGTTCTAATAGCTTTATCATTCATATAACGTTTC